TGTTCATGGCAACGGCAGTGGATCCTCTCGCTATCGGGGACCAGTGCGTGCCAAGGGCAAGCAGCAAGGTGGAAACAACGGCAGCAGCAACTCATCTCGCAATGGCGGTGGCCGCCCCTTCAACACCAACAACAGGGGACGGCACAAATCCACCTCCAAGTCACGTCCTGACGGTGTGTGCTTCCAGATCTGCGGCAAACTGGGGCACACGGCGCATGACTGTTGGTACCGCTTTGATGAAGATGACGAGTCCTCTCAAGATGAGAAAGTTGCAGCCACGGCAGATGGTTCCTATGGCATCGACACAAACTGGTATGTGGATAGTGGCGCCACTAACCACATCACCGGTGAGCTAGAGAAGGTGACCATGCGTGAGAAGTACCGGGGCCAGGATCAAATCCACACTACAAATGGTGAAGGTATGAGGATTTGTCATGTTGGTCATTCAGATATTAAAACCCCCACTCGCAAAATTCATCTTAGAAAAGTCTTGCATGTTCCTAGTGCCTCAAAAAGCCTTCTCTCCGTTCATCGTATTGCTCTTGATAATCATGTCTTTCTTGAATTTCACCACTTCTTCTTTTTTATCAAGGACCAGATCACGAAGAGAATCCTGTTTCGAGGTAGATGTGTTCGAGGGCTTTACCCGTTGATTCCGGATATTAGAAGGTTCAATAAACAAGCATATGGTATCACCAAAATTTCGTCAACTCTGTCGTGGACTTAACACGGCAGATGCCCGAGCAAAAGTACTTAGATGTGGAGCCATCGCGACTAGGTTAGCTTAAAGGGGTTAATCGGGACAAAGGACACAGAGAGTTTATACTGGTTCGGCCCCTCGTTGCGAGTTAAAGGCTTACTCCAGTTTGGGGGTTGTATTACTTGGGTTTCGGTTACCAGGGAGCGAATCCGCTTGACCTAGTTCTCAACTTGTTGTTTCTTAAGTTAACCCGCCGCCGGGTTACCCCTTTATATACACAGGTTGATGCCCCACAGCTTACAGAGTCCTGGCCGGCTCATACACAACGTGTCCGGCTCCGTGACTAACTAAGCTTGCCTTACAAGTTACACATATGGCGGTTCATCCTCTTGGGCCTCAAGTCGCCTCTGGGTCTTGGGCCTTCAATGGGCTTCCTTCATGACCCGCCATCTTCATCTTTAAGTCATCAGTGGTATGACTCGTCCCCTCCTGGGCGGGTTATACCTAATAGTTATATCCCCAACATACTCGGTGGCACGATCGATTAGGACATGCTTCTTTTTCTTTAGTAGAACGAGTGCTTAGGAAAAATAATCTCCCATATGTTGGTGAGCATAGTTGTGAAACAATTTTTGATTCATGTCAGCGTGCTAAGAGTCATCTGTTACCTTATCCTATATCTACTAGTGTTTCTACCAAACCATTGCAACTCATATTTTCTGAAGTTTGGGGCCCTGCCCCCACCTCTATTGGTAGACATACATACTATGTTAGTTTCATCGATGACCATAGCAAATATACATGGATTTATCTTCTTAAGAAATGATCCGATGTTTTCCAAGTGTTGAATGCAAGTTCGATTCCAAAATCATTGCCCTCCAATCAGATTGGGGTGGTGAATAATGTAACTTAAATTCCTTTTTTCAACAAATAGGAATATCTCACCTTGTTTCATGTCCTCATGCTCATCAGCAAAACGGGTCAGTTGAACGCAAGCATAGACATGTTGTAGAAGTTGGTCTTGCCCTTCTTGCAGGCGCATCTATGCCTCTAAAATTCTGGGATGAAGCGTTCCTTGCAGCAGTTCATATTATTAACATGCTTCCTAGTCGTGTCATTAATAATGAAACTCCGGTGGAATGACTTTTACATACCAAACCAGACTACACATCTCTTCGTGTGTTTGGATGTGCTTGCTGGCTGAATCTTAGACCCTACAACAATAAGAAACTTATGTCTCATTTCACCCAGTGTGTTTTCCTTGGCTATAGCCCTCAACACAAAGGTGTCAAATGCTTAGATGTACCCACTGGACGCATCTATATTTCTCGAGACGTGGTGTTTGACGAAACAAAATTTCCTTTTGCCCATCCTCATCCAAATGCCGGCACCCTACTTCAGAAGGAAATCCTTCTTCTACCATCTTATCTCACCAGTATTGATCATGGGGCGAATGATAATTGTAATGATCCACTATTGACTAACCCTCCTACTAATGGTGCCTCTGAAGTTTGTGATGCAACAGAAAAAAATAGCGATGAAAATGATGCAAAAATTGCCCAAAGTGGTCCTTAATTCATGTGTCCAAGGCTGGGAGACAGATCGAACATGATCCGAGGTAAATCTGCCTCGGGATCAGCATCAGGCCCACCTAGCTGCTCCCCTGTGCAGTTTGCGGCGGCATCTGCTCCAGGATCGGGGCCACAATAGGCGCCCTGCGACAGCGACAGCGAGCGCACCCGGGTGCACCAATCTCCACCTCACACCGCTCCGCACGAATCGGATGGCGCCACGCGGAGCCCTGTCATTGGGCCGGCGCAAAAGCGGTTCCCAGACGAATCTCGCGTCTACACGCGGCGCCCTCCGTGCACGGCCCCTGGCGCTGGTTCCCGCAGGGATTCGGTCGGGTCCACCTCCTCATTACCGTGTGATGGGGCTGCTGGATCGCCCGGCACCGCCTGGGTCTTCTTTGCCTCCACCCGTAGCCACAGAAGATCCGTCTCACCCTGTATGGCCCGACACGGGATCAGCTGGGGCTGTCGTCTATGGATCTTCTGCACCAGACGCTCCTGCTGCTTCTGCTGATCCTACTACACCTCCACGGACAAGGCTTCAAAGGGGGTAACTCAACCTAAGAATTACAAAACTATAGCTAAATTTGGTCTAGCTTGCAGCACAGATGAACCACATACCCTTGCAGAAGCTCTCAGTGACTCGCGGTGGAAACATGCCATGGAAGAAGAATGCATGGCTCTTCAGAGAAATAAGACATGGCATCTTGTTCCTCCTCATCAAGATAAAACTTGATTGATTGTAAATGGGTTTATAGGATTAAGAGAAAATCTGATGGAACTATTGATCACTATAAAGCCAGACTCGTTGCCAAAGATTTCAAGAAAAGGTACGACATAGACTATGAGGATAAGTCCAGTTAGAAAGGCTGCCACTATACGCCTTGTCTTGTCTATTGCCGTATCCGGGGGATGGAGCCTGAGACAGGTAGATGTACAGAATGTGCTCCTTCACGGCGTTCTGGAAGAGGAAGTGTTCATGAAACAACATCCTGGGTTTGAAGATAAAAAGAGACCTTTCCATGTGTGCAAACTTGATAAAGCATTGTATGAACTAAAGCAAGCTCCTAAGGCATGGTGCTCACGTTTAAGCACAAAGCTCCAAGCACTTGGTTTTGTTCCTTCCAAGTGTGACACTTCATTGTTTATTTACAACAAGTCAAACACATCTATATTTGTGCTTATTTATGTTGATGATATTATTGTCACAAGTTCATCTGATGAAGGAATATCAGGACTGCTAAAAGATTTGAAGTCTGAATTTGCTCTAAAAGATCAGGGAGACTTGCACTTTTTCCTTGGTATTGAAGTAAAAAGGAGTGGTGATGATCTTCATCTCTATAAAGAGAAATATGCATCAGATGCAAGAGTTGGTTTGCAAAATTGTAAGTCTAGTTCAGAAAAGCTCTCTTTCACAGAAGGGAAACTCTTGGATCAAGAGGATAGCACCAAGTACAGAAGTATGGTTGGTGCACTTCAATACCTGACTCTGGCTAGGCCTGATATTTCTTTTGCTGTTAATAAAGTATGCCAGTTTCATCATGCACCCACCACTGCTCATTGGATAGCTGCCAGACGTATTATTAGATATGTCAAAGATATTGTCAATGTTGGCTTAACATTCACTAAGTCATCATCAAATCTTGTTAGTGCTTTTTCTGATTCAGACTGGGCAGGTTGTCTTGATGATAGGCGATCTACAGGTGGTTTTGGGCCAAATCTTATTTCATGGTGTGCAAAGAAACATGCAACTGTATCAAGGTCAAGTACAGAGACATAGTATCAAGCACTGGCAAATGCAACAGCTGAAATTATTTGGGTTCAGTCTATGTTAAAAGAGCTCGATATTTCATCATGTCAAGCTCCATGCCTATGGTGTGGTAATCTTGGTGCTACATATCTGTCTGCTAACCCAGTTTTTCATGCAAGAACTAAGCACATTGAAATAGATTTCCACTTTGTTAGAGAAAGAGTTGCTGCCAAGAAGTTGGAAATTCATTTCATTCATTCCAGTGATCAAGTTGCAGACGGGTTCACCGAGGCATTGCCCACAAGGAATTTTGAAGAATTCAAGCTTAATCTCAACTTAGGAAAGTTGTGATTAAGGGAGGGTGTTAAACAACATATTGTCATGCTACATATGTTGTCACGTTCCATATAGGCTTCGGTGAGAGGTTAGCGCAGAGATAGAGATAGACAGGTTTCTGTTTAACCAATGTAAACTCCTGATCCTTTCTTCTCTCCCAAGATGTAAACCTCCAGTAACCGAACTCCCTTGTACGCAGTCAGAGTTTAGCCCCTGCCCTATATCAACACGCAGGCTCGGCCTCAACTGGCACGGTGCTTCATAGAAAGCTTACAGTTTCTACGATGTCAATGACCTGCAACTTTTTAGACCAGAAGCTAGGACATTTTTTTCCAAAGCATAGCTGATGCAATATACTTTTGAGTTGTGTTCAAACGAAGTAAACTTCATAATGAAAAATGGAAAGAAATGTTTCGTAACGATACCAGAAATATGTTTGTCGAGGCTTTTGTTGGATACATACTCGAAGCACAGCAACCTGTTAGGCATTTCGGCAAAAATATGCTTCCCAGTCCCACTTGGTTGCTCTATCGCTTCCCATTTTGATTCGGCACAGTAACCTACAAAAAGTACCACGTTTTGGTGCTTGATCCCCATAAGATAGCTGACCTCATTCTGAAACGTCTCCTCTTTTAGACGTATTTCAAAAAGCTTCTTCACAGCAATGATTTTCCCACTCCGAAGAACTCCCTGTGTTGTACGTTAAAACATCTCTTCATAGCATGCACATGTCTCTGTCATTAAATGCTGTTTGGTAACATTTGATATGTGGAGTAAAAGAGGTCATACCTTGTAAACTAATCCAAACCCACCTTGGCCAAGTACTGACTCATTGGAAAAATCACATGTGATGTTCTTCAAAAAATCTAGTGGAAGAGACAATGGTGTTGCATTTGAATCCTCTAGCTTCTTCTCAAATTCATCATATATACTCGCCATGCCTGTTTAAATAAAAAACTATATGACAGGGCATCTGTGATCTGTGTTAAAGAGTGTGTATGCTTGTATCCCCTTTGTACATATAAGTGGCCGGTCTCCACTAT